AAAATTTATATACTAGACACTGCACTTTATCAAATGGTATTATATTTTTAATATATTATTTCTGACCTTTAATAAATTAACGTTTTTCTAAAGCCCACAAAAATTCTGTTCGAAAAAGTTGTGTCCCAAAACCGACGTATCTATTAAAAATTATAGAACGTGTTAGAAATAGAAAAAGTTTTGCAATAAATTGTTAAATAATTTAAAAAATTGTTTAATATTGCTAATATAGTAAATATAGTAAAGCCATTTTCTTTTGGTGTCTCAATTATAAAAGGCATTTATAAAAAACTAAATAGATACAATTTAATTGTTTTTAAAGTTCAATTTATGTATGTTAATTTACATTAATTTATATATCAATAACTCGTCACAGTTGAATAAGTCAGTTTTATGTTTACTATTATAAAATCCTTCAACTGTATCGTAAAGAAAACAATAAAATTGATCAAAATTGATTTATTCCAAAAAATAAGTTTAATTTATCCAAATATAAGACTAGATAAAAAAAGATTTTCTAAATCCGAAAGATATATTCTACATACCTTTTATGTACAATTTTATTAATATTATTATTTACTGGTTATACAAATATATAATAATATAATTATACAAATCGATAAATTCATATTTTAATGTACTAAATAATAATTTTGTATTCAGCAAACAAAAAATTTTTGCTAAAAATTCGCATGGTGTATATTCTTACAGAAAATTTTCATTTTACAGATATAATTAAACAAATGATTTATGGAATATTATGTAAATTGTTTTACATATGTATTTAGATAATTCAAGCGTATTTATTATAAAAGAATTTATATGTATATACATATGTTTGGATGAAGAAAAAACATTATTATCCTGTACTGTACATCACACTAAATCATTACACTGGCATGACATAATTCGAATATCTCATTTTTAGTTTTATTGACAAGAATAGAAAACATCTTCCAACATTCGTGACATATACGACAAAATCAAGTATAAACGTTCAAGATATCACAATAATTCCTTTTGGCTATCACCACAAAGATTGTTAATAATATCGAAAAAGTTAGATGAAAATGATTGGATTATAGTTAATTTACAACAAACAGTTAAATATAAAACATTAAATTTATTATGTTTTATCTTCGTATCTTTTTTACTTTTTTAATCTTACATACCCTAATGTTTCTGACACACGCACTCGCATACTGTCAAGTGTGCGTGTCATTCATGCTTGCAAGCAAATTTTCACACGCTAATCATTTTTACACTTTTTTCAATCCAATTGTAAAATATCATAAGAGTAACATAATACAATCACAGTGCGTGTGAGTGCGAGTAGCGAATTATTTTCAATTATAATTCAAAAACTAACTTGCAAACAAAATTTTGCAAAAGGAAAAATTGTTTTAGATATCGCTCAAAGATATAATATTTCAAGAAAATCAGGCTGTTTGGAATTGCTTTGTTGTATGTAAAGAAAGTTAAAATTAATTGATACATGTATAAATATACATTCATATCTTTTATAAATTACAATAGGTTTAAATTTATATTATCAATTTGTAGAAAAAAATGGAAGAAATATTGAGTGGAGTTCTGTACAAAGTAGGATACGTTGCAGAACCATACAAAAGCGATTTTACTGTATGTTTAAGAGAGGAAGCCCGTAAAATGGGCATGTATTTTTGGTAATAAAGAATGCAGAGAAGTAGCCAATGAGCAAATGACAAGAGATCTATATTCTGAAAATGTCATGTATGTTTACAGCCACAATATTAATATAAACAATTTTTGTTGCATTATGTATACTTACATTATATACATCGAATACTGTATTAGGTAAACTATTTTTTCATAAAATACGCTGAATTTTTTAACTAAAAAATTTTTGTTATAACGCAGTTTTGCAACGCAATCAGCATTATGGACAACATAAATGTATTGCTATGGTTTTGCATCAGCAAACAGTGCCATTTGGCACGATGTATTTAAGAAATAGATAAACACATCTAATGATAAAATTTTAGAATACCTAACTTGCGTGAAAACCCTGAACTTATAAGCAGATATTTGATCCTGTTGACGGAAAACGAGTTTTTCAAAAGATTAGATCGCAATAAGCATGTTCATATATATCTTTTTATTATTGCGAAGTATGCAGGAAACGATATCGTGTTTTATTTTATATTGCTACGTCTCAATATTGCACTCATATTGCACAAAAATTCATAAATGATAAGGTCTGACCAAGTTCCAAAAGAGACACTCCAATATGTTTATATTTTAATAATTATCTAAATTTGTGATATATTACCAACATGAAAAGTAACTGATACATTATTCAAGGTGCAAATTCAAAATAAACATACATAAAATATACATAAAATGTATAAATAAATAAAACTGATCAAAATTTGATTCTAGAAAGTAAGTGATATGTTATTTTTAGTGCAGATACAAATTTAAAAATTTATTAAAATAACAAATATTATTAAAATCAAAAAACTTGGCGCTGCCAACGGGCTTCGCCCTCCCCTTCGAGCCCCCTTCCCCAGCGCAGCCCTTCGCGCCATCCTCCTTTTCCCTCCCGTCGAGGGGCCTTGCCACCCCTCCACCGCTCTTTACACCTCAAAGTATTATGAAACAATGAAAATGAGTAATAATGTAATAATTAGCATGATTAATTGACATTGTGTAATTAATTGACATTATGTAAGTTAACATGTTGTTCGGTGTGGTAACGCCAAGTTTTTTTGTATTTTTTAATAATTATTTTGTTATTTTAATTAAATTTTTTTCAATCAAATTTTGATCAGTTTTATTTATACATTTTATGTATATTTTATGTATGTTTATTTTGAATTTGCACCTTGAATAATGTATCAGTTACTTTTCATGCTGGTAATATATTAAAAATTTAGATAATTATAAAAATATAAACATATTGGAGTGTCTTTTTTGGAACTTGGCCAGATCTTATCATTTATGAATTTTTGTGCTGTAATCGTTTATATACTTTTGTCCTTTTTTGTACTTTATATAAAATTAATTATTATAACATCTGTAAAAGTCTCTGAAATGTATTATATTAATTGTCGGCCAAATAGATCAATTAATAAATGTTAAAATGTTAAAATTATTTCAAGAAATGTTTATGTAATACATGAGGCATTTATCACAATGAACAAATTAATTCATAAGAGTATGTCATTTTATTATTTAAAGGTAGAATATTGTAGGAATTGTTTACTCCTGCGTCAGCCACGTAGCATTTTGCATCAATTGTGCAACATTATATTTATAAAATGTTACAGATACTTAGCGTATTTAAGAAAAATATTACAATACTTATAGTTCTTAACATTATTAATTATTCCCAACGTAATTTAAATTTAATTTTATTTTAAATATTTTTTAAATTTCCAGGATGTTATTATTAATTAAATAATTGTTTTACATAATTGTTTGAAAAATTTGCTTTGAAGAAAAAAAATTGCAATGCTTGTAATCATTATTTTTAAAAAATAAATTATTTTATATAGCAAACCTGTAACGTAGTTTTGTAATTTAGATTAGTAGTCTATTGCATTTAAAAAAGAAACTAAACAACATAGATCATTTTATAGTAAATAATTTTTGGTAATAATACATAATTTTTTGTAACTAACAAGTAAATGGGACAAATAGTGCGCGCTGGTGTGTTTAATTTAATTAAGTTACTTGTTAGTTGTATACTTTAACAGTTCATATCTTGAGAAGGTCAGTAAATTTACACTTAAAAAAAATTTCCTCATAAAACCTATCTATAATCTTTGCCTTCGTTCAATACATCCTACATTATTGAGTAACGCGGAAATTATTTTTGTATACAGACGAATAACTCTGTCAAATTGCATTTTAATCAAAATATATAAACATATAGAATATTAAAAAATATTCATTCTGATAGTAATATTTAAGATTAAATTTAAAGCAATAAAAACTGTTATTATTGAGCAACTAAGAATAGAATGATGTAATAAGAAATTTAAACCAATAATTAATAATTTATTTGCTACATAGGCAATATATTGTTTGTACATTATTTCTCACACAATCGTATATTCGTGTATATGCAGAATGCGCTGTAACATTCTTTTACCTTATTACCTTACATACTTGACATGAGATGTTACGGCGTGTTTTGAAAATTATTAGTTAGATTTGGCCGACGTATCAATATTTATATTCAAGTAGAAAATAATACGCCTTCATTCGTCCTCTTTTATACTTTTCGACAGAAAGGTTCTTGTATCATATTCAGTTATACGCGTTCAGTCATATCAGACGGACACCATGTCAGGAAAGATTGTAATTACAAGGCATATATGGCAATATTATATAAAACTGCTGAATTTTCAAGCACAGTTCAAGTTTTGCAAAACTGAATGTAATTATACAAGAAATACAAACTCCAAAACGCATATAGCAAAAAAGCATCAAAAAAATTAAAAATAACGAAAAAAAAAAAACCAAAATAGGACCATGGACATAATACAAGTATTCAAACAAATTATATTCAAAATGATTGTCTGCGATGCAAATGTTTTGTCTACATCTGCATCTTTAGGAAATCACTTAAGTTTGCATTCTAAAGAAGAAAGGCAGAATCATATACTTCAAGATTGGCCACGGAAATATTGGACACAAATAAGTAACTTTTTGATAGAGTGTGATATTTGCAACAAAAACTTAACTTTTTATATTCGACGTTTTTGGATCATCATATAAAAACGACACATTCGGACAAATTGGAAAATACGAGAAAAACACATGACACAGTCGGTTCGTCAGAACGCGTTTCATCACTACAAACGGACACAACGTCTATGTCATTAACTACCATAACTAAAAAGAATCTGTGGGAATATTATATAGAACCGCCGGATTTTAAAGCACAATGCACGTTTTGCGAAAATATATATAGTTATGTAAATTCTACTGACTTTAAAATACACATAGCAAAATGTCATAGCAATATTTGGAAATGCGAAGAAGAGAGAAAACTAAATTAGTTATGGATATATTTCAAGCATTCAAATGAATTATTTTCACAATGTCTTATCTGTCGATGCAAATGTTTTGATTTTATCTGAATTTGTAGTGAATCACTTAAATTTGTATTCTGAAGAACAACGGAAAAATCATATACTTCAAAATTGACCATGGAAATATTGGACACAAAGAAGTGATTTTGGGGTAAAGTGTAATATTTGTAACAACAAATTATTTCTTTCTCTTCCAAGTCATCTGGAATATCATATAAAAATGGAACACTCAACTAAAAAATACGCAAGAAAAGACGACACAGTTGATTCATCAGAACGCATTTTGTCACTTGAAACGGAACAGTGTGTATGTTACTAAAAAATTTTTAATTTTGATGAAAAATCAGTATTTTTAAACTTCGGTAAGTCTACATGGACTATAAAGAATATATTTTAAATATTTCAACTCATTGGCTTGAAATGCATTATTTATGACAGGAACGTTTTATTTTTATCTGGAAGTTTTGGAGATTACTTACGCTTGCATTAAAAAAAAACATATTTTTCAGGATTGCTTACGTGAAAGTACGTACATGCCAAAAGATGATTATGATTTCGAAGTAGAGTGTAATATTTGTCACAGAAGCATATCTGTTGCTGTCAGAAGTTATTTCAATGACCATGTTGAAGATGAACATCATTTGCAAGACAACTAAGCTGAATAAAAGAATGGCAGTAAATTTTATTGTTATTAATAGGTATAATTAATTCTTTATTTATTTCAAATCGCGTTTAATTTATTAAAAATATATGATATAATAATTACATCAAAAACTAGACAATTAATTTTTTATTTTCATGTGTATTTTACAATTGTCTATATAGATTTGTTTTCCCCCGAAACTTGACAATGAGAACGATGATAAAGGCATCTAAGTAGTATCATACCAGCAATAATGGTAATCTTGATTTTGACGATTTTATTTCACTAAATGATATATGCAAGAATAGTGACATATATAGCCCTAATGTATAATTATTTATTTAATGTTTATAAAATAAATGTTTATAAAAATGATGTTTATTAAATTATAAATATAATTATAAATCTAGATTTTATGGAAAACATTTTTGTAAATTATAACTATAATTATTATAACTATAATTATAACTATAATTTCATTATGTGTGTATGTTCTCAATTTATAAATTATATTCTTAATTTTATTTACTGAAACAATTTAATGAAATAATCATTGACTTCTCTGTAAAGAGAAAAATACCGACCATTTATACTATAATTTTTTTTCAAATTTAATTTTTATATACTTTCTTATTTATTTTTACACATGCTTAAAATTTTTTATATATTTTTGCTATTTTTTTTTACTTTATATAAAATGATTTATTGTAATTTCAGTAAAAGTCTTTAAAATGTATTTTATTAATTATCGGTGAAATAGATGAATTGAAAAATGTTAAAATGTATTTAAAGAAATGTTTATGTAATACATGAGGCATTCATCACACGATGTACAAATAATTTCGAAATAAGAAAGTATGTCACTTTTTTATTTGAAGATAAAATTATGTAGGAATTTTTTATTCCTGCGTCAATCTCGTGGCATTTTGCATCAATTGTGTAACATTATACTTATAAAATGTTACAGATACTTAGCGCATTAAAGAGAATTATCAAAATACTTATAGTTTTTATAATTATTAATAATTCCCAACGTAATTTAATTTTCATTTTATTTCAAATATTTTTAAAAGTTCAAAAATGTTATTATCAATTACATATCAGTTTTATGAAAAATTTGCTTTAAAGAATAAAAATTTTAATGCTTGTAATAATTACATTTTAAATATATATTATTTTACGTAGCAAATCTGTAACGTAATTTTGTAATTTAGATTAGCAGTCTATTACATTTGAAAGAGAAACCAAACGACATTGATCCTTTTATAACAAACAATTCTTAGTTATAGTAAATAGTTCTTTGTACTTAAAAAAGTAAATGGTGCAATAATGCGTTCTGATGTGACTGATTTAATAAAATTAATTGTTAGTTGCAGTCTTTAACGGTTCATATCTTGAGAAGGTCAAATAAACTGTATTTAAAAGGGATTTCTCTCATAAAATCTATCATAATCATTGTCTTCACTCAATCCTACACTATTAAGCAACGCCAAAATTACGTTTGTACGCAGACAAATAACTCGATCAAATTGCGTTGTAACAATAATACTTAAACATATAGAATACTAAATAATACTCATTCTAATAGTAGTATTTTAGATTAAATCTAAAGCATTAAAAACTGTTATTATTGAGCAAATAAGAATAAAATGATGTAATAGGAAATTTAAACCAATAATTAATAATTTATTTGCTACATAGGCAATATTGTTTGTGCATTTATTTCTCACACAATCGTATATTCGTGTATATGCAGAATGCGCTGTAACATTCCTTCGCTGTTATTTTCTTACATACTTGACATGAGATGCTACAACGTTGTTTTGAGAATTATTAGTTAGATGTCGTCCGACGTATCAATATTTACATTT